ATAGAGTAAACCATTTTCTCTCAGAGCGCGTGGAACGTAAAGAGGGATGAAAAGAAGGGAAAAAATTTTCGTGTATACTTAACATTATACATTTCTTGCTTTATATATAAAATTTCGTGATATATATATATTAAAAAACGGAGGGACTTTTAAATACAAGTCGAAAAGAAGAAAATATATCTTTAAGATATAAATTCATCTTATCTTATTTAAGTTGACTTAGAGATCATCTAAAAGCGTTACATTTATAAGCTTTTGAAGAATAATGGTTTGCGATTAGTCGTATTCCTGTCTTCATTTTAATTAATGTTTGGATGCCACGCCTCCTGAAGATTCAAGAAAAAGGGGAACTCAACAATTTTGTCATTAAAATTTTTATTACTACTTTGATACAAGAAAATTGTCTTTACTTATTATTTACGACAAAAAAATTTGTTGCTTTTCTACTACAGAGTGTTTACAACTTTTTTAATTGTCTCTTAACAATAGAATATTTAACTTTATTTAGAAAAAAAATGTTGTATTATTTATTGTTTAATCTTATTAAACGAAAAATTTTTTTCCTAGTTTTTCTCAGTAAGTCATCTTCTTTTACATATAGAGGAAATATGGTATGGTGTAAAAGTTTTACTTAGTCATAAATTAAGGTTTTTGTGGTCATTGAATCCAAAATTAATATCAGATTTTAAAAATCGAAAATGACGGAGCCAATATGGCAAAAAAAATTTTTAAATTACCGGATTCGCTGAAAACTCGAAAGTTATGGTTTCTTAAAAGTTGATAAATTAAAATTAGTTATCACCTTTAAAAAAATTAAAAACTTCGGTTTTTAAACCATACACAGTGGCCTGATTGCAAATAAATTTTTATACCCGTTTAAGGGTAGGTATACTGTTTTTTAAAAATATTTTTTCATCTACTCCTTTTTTTCCGCTTCAATATTAAACATTTCTAAAATTTTATTTTTCGATTCGACAGTGGTTTTTAGGGATTTTCCAAAGGATTTAAAATCTATTATTTATAAAGCATTTTTTAACAACAAGCCCAGTGAGATTTTTTTTATAGTATAAAATTGATTTAATGTTCCAGATATTTAACTTGTAATGTTCATGAAACTACGAGAGTGTTTTCTTGGAAAGTGTGCAGGGTTGTTTATAAGTAGAAAAATGTTCTGTAAGTATTTTACAACGTAACTTCTTATCATCAACATTTTTTTCTTTCCTTATAATCTGGGTCACCATAAATAACCAGAAAATTAGTTTATAAATTTACTTTATAACTTGAAAGTTGACTTTAAATTTTTCTATTTTATCAGATTGTAAAATGTGTCGTTAAATATTTTACATTCGCACCAGTTAAAAATTTTTTTTTCCTTTTTTTAAATATTTATTGGATTATTAAAGTAAAAGTTTAATTAAGTTGCAACTAATATTTTTGATTTTAGAATATTGGTATACACGTAGGTTATTTTCATAAAATATTTTAGAACTTTTATTTTTTGGCATTGGTAAAGAGAGTTACAGTTTGAGAATAAATATATTGTTTTTCGTAATTTTTCTGACAACAGTGTCAGTACACTGTGGTTAAACAATGAACTTTGAATTTAATTGCTTTATGGAATCAGTGAATTACTGTTTTAATCAGATAATTTAAATTTTTATAATCAAAGGAATAGTAATTTACGTTTGTTTAGATCAGAAACATTTTTTTTATTTTTCTAGTAGTAATTTTAAGATTCGTACTTCACGTTAGCTTTAATTAAAAATATTTTTTAAAACTATTTAATTTGCATTCATTAGTGAAAATAAATTTTAGTCAAACATTGGATTTTCTATGTTTTGTAATTTTATTATTAGTAATATAATTTCGTTTAAGTCAGACAAGAAGTATTAGATTTAGTAATTTTAGAACCAGTAGTTTGCGTTTTTATTGTGATCAAAAAATGTTTATTAACATTTCAATTTTCTCTCAGTAGTGGAATGAAGTATTAGTCAGACAATGTATTTATTATGTTTTAATTTTATTCTCAGTAGTATAACTGTGTTTTAGTCTGGCAAGAAGTATTGGATATTTTGTAATTTTTGAACCAGTAGTTAATGCCTATTTTGGTAAGAAAATATTATGCAACTTTTTAATTTTCTCTTAGTGTGAATATAAATTTTAGTCAGACAATGCACTTACTACTCATAGTATAATGTCATTTTAGTGAGACAGAAACTAGTGAATTTGGTATTTTAGAACCAGTAGTTTATGTTTATTTTGGTCAGAAAATGTTTATTAACTTTTTAATTTTCTCTTAGTAGCTAAAATAAATTCTAGTCAGGCAATATATTTATAGGTTTGTAATTTCATTATCAGTAGTATAGGTGCATTTTAGTCTGCAAAGAAGTATTGCCTTTTGTAATTTTAGAACCGCAGTAGTTTCTGTTTATTTTGGTCAAAAAATATTATTTAACCCTTTAATTTTCTCTCAGTAGTGAAAATAAATTTTAGTTAAACAATGCATTTTTTATGTATTAATTTTATTATTATTAATATTAAATTGCAAATTGATCATACAAGAAATAATAAATTTTGTAATTTTTGGATCAATAATTCACGTTGATTTTGGTCAGAAAATATTTTTAACTTTTTAACTTTCTCTTGATAGTGATAATAAATAGTGATAGTGATTGAGATTTAGTCACACTAATAAGTGCGTTGTTAAGTCAGACAAAGATTAAAACTTTGCGTCTTTATTTGCCAGTAGAAAAAACTAAGTTTTGGCCAGGCAATGAATTTTTAATTTTTTACATTACTATCAGTATAAGTTTTTATCAGTCTGACAATATTTATTTGATCAGGCAATATTTTCAAATTTTTTCATTTTCTGACAGTAGTAATATTAGATTTTAGTGAGACATTGAATTCTTAATATTGGGATTATATTATCAGTAGTATAATTGCGTTTAAGAAAAATAGTATTTCTTGTAACTTTATATTCAGTAGTAAGCGCGTGTTTAAGTCAGACAAAGATTAAAGAATAAAAATAAAAAAAAATAAATAAATAATAAAAATAAAAAAATTAAATAAAATTAAAGAAAAAAAAATAAAATTAAATAAATAAAAAAAAAAATAAAATAATAAATAATAAAATATTAATAAAAAAATAATAATAATATAATAATAATAATATAATAATAATAATAATAATAATAATAATAATAATAATATTATAATATTATAATATAATTATAATAATAATATAATAATATAATATTAATATTATTTTAATATTAATTAAATTTATTTTTTTTTTAATAAAGAATTAAAATTCTTTATTTATTAGTAGTAAAAGTATATTTTAGTCCGACAATGAATTTTTAATTTTTTTTTTAAATAGTAGTATAATTAAATTTAAGTCAGACCAAGTATGTGAATTTATTAAGTTTTGTATAATTATTGTTAAACGAAAACAATTGTTGTTATTAAAATTGAACAAAATATACCTATTATAAGTTTATTTTTGGTAGTAAAAAGAGAGTTTAATCAATACAAAAATATTTTTATATTTTTTCAATAGTAAAAATTTGTTAGACGATTTCCTATTTTTTTAAAAATTACTACAAGTACACTACCGGTCAAAATTGAGAGACCATCCATTTTCAGGCGAATGAAAAGGTTTTAAAACATAAAATTTATTAAAATTAAAATTGTTTTCTGTTCATTTTTTGAAAGATGATAAAATTTTGAAAAGAACAAGATATTTTAGAAGTCGTTTAGCCTATAATTTATTTAGATATTTTTAAAAAATTGTCATTTGCTACACTATAAGAATTACACATAAGCATTAACGTGTAATTTTTTTCTTAGAAAATGCAGGCCGTCAAACTTAGACCAAAAAAATTTAAAAAATAGCGCGTAACTTTCCTGAACATTTCAATGAAATCTTCGCCTAATTATAATTATAATTAGGCGAAAATATCATTTAAATGTTCAGGAAATTTTCACACTAAACATTTATTTAATCGGGACATTTAAATCTTTACACAATTTTCACTAAACTTTTCAGTTAAATATGAAATGACGAATATTGCAAGTAAATATTTAATAAATTTTTAGGAAAATTTCGGTGCTGTGGGGGTTATTAAATAATAGATTAAAGTTTTAGTATACGCATTGGACGTACTGAGCCAGTAAAATGCCGGAGTTCCTAATAGTACAAGTTACACGGAAAGTCAGTACTGTCAAACAGTATTATATTAGTAGTGGATCGGACGTTGACTACGGTTGTTTACGGAAATTTCTGCCTGGTCAAATAACTCTAACATTTATTTATTCAGTTTCAGTAGTAAAACAACGTTTCAGTCAGACATAAGTATTTAAATTTAATTCTTAAAATGAGTAGCAAAAGTACGTTATAGGTAGACAAAAGAATAAGAATTCTTGTATGTTTAGTATCGAAAGTTGAAAGTAATTCTCACTGTTTGTAGAAAAAATCTTCCACTCACTTTTCCAACTAGTTTTGAAAAATAATCAAAAAATTATTTCCATCTTAAATATGTCGCAAGTTCTAGTTTTCAAAGTTTTTATCAAAAATTTACATCAAACTTCTTCTATTAGCTTTTCATTATTTATGATGCTGTCCACTAAAGTTGAATGTCTTCAAATTTTATGGACCTCCAGTGACTCAACTTAAGACTTCTGATTGTGAAATCGTTTATCCTCTGATGTGATCTTCCATATCAGAAAACTAGGACCAAACCGATTTTCCAATGTTCTATATATATATATAATTCAAGAGAGTTGGGGGACATGAGAAAGGAGAGCAAGAGAGAGAGTGAGAGAGAGGAGTATCGATATTGAAACGTAAAAAAGATTCAATCAGTCGCGAAGTTTCAGCGCCAATCAATCACCCGGCTGGACGGGCGAAGCTCGCGCAGCCCTATGCTGGCGCTTCTCTCGCGACCAGCGTTAAAATGGCCGAGCTTTTATGTTGGCGTCGACGCACTGCAAGCTCGATGCGCTTGCGGCGGGAGCTCAGTAGCCGCTCGAACGTCGGGAGAAACTTAGTTTTCTCAGAGCGCTTCATCTTTCGATTTGAGAAAGTCTATTAATTTTCCACATCAAAAAGTTTTAAAAAAAGGAAAAAAAATTTTGTCAAAAATTATTCAAAAAAATTTTTTTTATATAAAAAGTGGAAAATTTTTTTTTTTATTTTTCATATCTACAATATTGTGATTTACAGAATTATTTTCTGTACATATATGTGAAAAGTAAAAACAGTGGTCCCAGGAAATTTTTATTCTAAAACCCTCTAAATGGACCGTCATAACGGTCCCGGAAGTGGTGACAAGAATTACCAGTGAAATGAACCTCTTTATTTGGTGAATCGTGTATCGCGTGCTCGTTTCAAGTTTGTTAAGAGCGCACGATGGGAAGTAACGTCAAGAAACGGCACGCATTTACGTTTCTTCTTTTCCTCGTTATCACCGGTAAGGAATCCAAAAAAAATTGTGAAGTGTTTTTTTCAAAGGAAAAAATTGAAATTGAAATTGGGTTTTTTTCTTTTTGAGTGGTAAAAGTGTAAGCGTCGGTTTAAAATTTAGTCAAGCATTTGAATTCCCTTTGGGAGAGAGAGTGAAAGAGAGAGAGAGAGAGAGAGAGAGAGATTGTGTCTTCCTAAGTAAAAGTGATTCGATTCGTTGAAAATCTGGTTCACAAAGTTGGTCCTATCCTTTACCAGGAGGCGACTCTTTGCGTGAATCGCTTAAGTTTGCAAGAGAAGAACCAAAAGTTTCTGATAAAAGCGCACGCTACCGGCACTCCGCTTACCGAAGCGAAATCAATTCAATTCAATCGTCGATTTTGCAAGCAGGGAGCATTTAAATCGTTGCATTTCAACAAGTTGAATTTGAAATTTTTTTCTCTCCTACTCGATTCTCTCGGGGAGGGGGGGGGGGATTTGATAAAAAATTTTTTGTCATTACAAGAAACGTTGATTACATTCCACAGGAAAATCATATTTTTTTAAAGAAAATTTTAAAACAAAGTTCTTTAAAAATTTTCTCAAAAGTTGAAATCTTTAAAAAGTTTTAAGAAATTTTTTTCCATTTCTTCCTGGTGGAAAAGTCGTAAATTTATAATATCAAAAAAGAAATTTGTAACTGACAGTTTTTAAATTTCTTTGATTTATAAATTTATCATATTTGCAATTTTGCTACAAAAATTCCGGAAATTTGGAAATTAAAAATATTGTCTTTTTTTAAGTTTATAATATTTTAATTAAAAATGACTTTGTTTTCCAAAAACAATAAAAATCTAATTTTTATTTTTCAAATATTAACGAAAAGGTAAAAAAAACAATTTTTTGAGAAACATCATAGTCTGAATTTAGTTTCTTAAACTATAAGCAATGATTACACAAATTTGACAAACTGTTGGGGTAAATTTTTAAATATTTTTATCATCCTAAAAAGGACCAGCAATTGAAAAAAAAGACACTTAAAAATCGGAATTATTTCAACTTTAAATATTTTTTTAAACATTAAAACAACTTTTAAAATATTTTATTAAGTTTAGAAAAAATTGCAGAATTTACAGTTTTCGATGATTTCGTAGAATTTGATCATTAGCCAGTTCTTCATTTTTTTGAAAAAAGTGAATTTTTTAATAGGAGAAAAAAACAACAAAACGAGCAGTTCTTTTAATATTTTAAGAAAAAAGTGGGCGACAAAATTAACATTTGAGCAAAATTTTTATATTCAAAACCTGATGTAAAATTACAGTTTTTTTTTTTAACGTTTAGGTATCTCACTTTTACATTTTTCGAGAAACTTAATTAAAAACTTAGAAAAATTCAATCGATTCAATTGTTTTTTTTTTACTTTTTGGTTTCAACAAAAACCACTAAACAATGGAAAATTTAAGTTTTCAAAAAGGAAAAAAATAAAACAAATAAAATTCCGCTTTAAATCAAAAACAGCAGCAATAAAATTTATTAAATGTTTCCATATAGAAACTAAAAAAAGAAAGTGATGCTTAAAAAATATTGTAAAACGTTTCACTAAAAATAAAGTGCTTCAAAAACGCTTCTCAAAAAAATAAAAAAAAACAGTGAAAGAAAAATATTTGGATAAAAAAAAACGTTTGTGTAAAAAGTGAATAAAAGACATGTGTCAAGAACAATAGAAAAACAGTTTTTACAGTGAATGACAAAAAAATAGCACCTACATAGATTCATAAAATATGCTCCGTGAAATTTTTTTGACACGTGAAAAAAATTTTTATATTAAAATTGGAAAAAGTATTTTTTATCCTTTTTATTACAACAAAAAGGATAAAAAATACTTTTTCTAATTTTATTATAAAAAAAATTTTCTTTAAAGAGTAGAAATAATATTTTTTCTAGTAATAAAAATAGAAAAATATTTTTCATACTCTATTATAAAAAAATTAGAAATCGTATTTTTTATACTCGTTATTTTTGTAATAGAATAAAATTTTTGTCCCATATATAAAAAAACAAGAAGGGAATATAGAAAGCAGTGAGGTGATCAGAAAAATAAATATGGTTTAAATCGAATCTATGTAATTAATAATAAAAAGGACAAAATACAGTATCGTAAGGAAGTGATTACGTATTCGTGTGTTAAAAAGAATTTTATAAATTTTCATTATACATCAAGTGACACATAATGCCATAAATATGGCCGTTATGCTAAATTGTGCTTGGATTTTCCACAACTAAGGTTGGCATTAAATTTAACAACTGTTTTTTTTGCATCGCTCGCGGTCCCTGGTATTCAAAGAGAGTTGAGAGAAAGAGAGCGAGAGAGAACGCTTTAGTAACTCCATTCAAGCAGCGTGAATGAATTTACTGAAAAAGCAAATTTCCATATCGCGCTTGGTAAACTTGCAAACCTAATTGGAATATTGCCAGTGAAACTATAATATAATGCTTGTACGCGCAGTAGATATTAATAATGAGCGAGTAGCAAGGAAGTTCACATAATCTAACACCCTCACCTTATATACACGCAGGGATACATATATATTAATGCTGATACATCATTCCTGTCTCGTATACGTAAATGGAATCAAACTTTGATTCATCGCAAAATTAATAGCAAATACTAAAAATCGATTGGCTGCGTTTCTATTTCAAGTTTGAAAAGCACACTTTAAAAAAAAACTTCAATTGACCGCAGTATTTGTTAAGTCCTTTTTTCACTTTAAAAATCCATTTTCCCGAAAGTGAAAAAATCCCTCGACAAAAGTAAGGATTTAAAATATTCGCAAGCGCAAAAGAATATACTATAACTTCAATTGAATATTTCTAAATTACGGGTTTAATTTATTAACTATTTAATATTTTGTTGAACGCTATTTCTTTTCACACTAAATCATCTTCAATTGAAGCTATTTCTGAACCTTAAAGCTCCCATTGTTTACAATATCTATTAATTAACAAATATAAACAAATAATCACGTGAACTTATTCTTAATTGAAATTAAAACTTTTCGTATAAATTGTACATAAATCGACGTACAATCAAAATAAAATTTAATAAACTAAAAAACAAATATTATTAAAATATGATTTGAAAATCTAATAAGTAAAAAAATTGGACAAGTGCGAGTTGTACTCGCATATTTAATGCCACGTGTTTAAACTAAAAAAAAATAAAAATTTTTTGTCGTCAGACTGTAATGATACACTATGATACCAATTTTCAGCTCATTAGGTCAAATAATGTAAAAGTTAGAAAAAACAATTTTTTTTTTAATTTTTTAGTTTTTCCTTGACAACGCTATGGCCATCATTACATATCAAGTTCTCTATATTTTTCCTGTAATATTCGAGTAAAAATACACCAGCATGCAAAATTTCAGCTCTCTATGTCGAATAGTTTAGAAGTTAAGGGGGGGAATGGTCACTTTTTATGCATTTTTGGCCAAAAATCTTGTTATTTCCTTGACAACGCTATGCCCATCACGTCCAATCAGATTCGCTATATTTTTCCTGTAATCTACGAGTGAAAATACATATCTGGACCAAATTTGAGCTCTTTAGGTCAAATAGTTTAGCCGCTAGGGGGGGGGACACGATTTGGCTACGGACACAAGAGTCTCACCAATAGGGTTCCGCCGATACACCGTAGGTGTACGGAACCCTAAAAACGATCGGAAATCAAAATAAAAAATAGATTTAAAAAACCAAAACTAACTAAAACTATGGACACTTAAAATTTATGAATAAATTTATTGGAGTATTAATATTAAAAATGGCAATTTTTAACTATTGTTTTATTTGTATATAATCACTGTAAATTACCATAGTACTTGCGGCAAAACAACTATAAATTGAACCTGTCATTATTTTATACGAGCGTCAACTGAAAATGCCACTGTTTTTGAACAGTATTCACTGAAAAGTGACATTAATTCAAAACCAACGAATAATTGAAGTTATAAAACATAAAAGTGATTAAAATTTGCAGTTAATTGAAGCTATTATTCATTTAAAGGACCAATGTATAAAACCAATGTAATAAATCCGATGTTTAATATTATTGCAGTGGTCTTTAATTTTTCGATACGAAATTATAATTTATTGATAAATCAACATTATATTCAATTTATATTTATTATTTTCAATTTAATAAAAATGAAAAATGAAAATCACAAATTTTACCTTTTTAATAAATTTTATAGAATGAAACACATTCCATTAATTAAAAACATTATCGAAATTTTGCTTTTTACAAAATTACAATTGAATAATTATAATTGCAATTAATTACCAGTTGCAAGGCAAACCTAATTATATGTTAGCATTTCATAAACGATAAATAAATCCTCAAATTTAATCAAATCGGAAGCAGAAGATTAATTATATTCCAGATTACACATAAACAATTTTGAGTATATCGTCATAATTTTAATAATTATTTTTAGAAAAGAAATTTAATCTTTTAATAAAACTATTAGAAATCCGATAATTTTATTGCAAAAATCTCTTTCGAAATTAAATAAACTCAAATTAAATAAATATAATATATGTAATATAAAAAATATAATTAATTAATATAATTACTTATTACGGCAGAAAATTTAATATGCTTGTATTCCATAAACAATAATTAAATCAGTAATTTCATCGTCGGAACCTAAAGATAAATTATTCTCCAACTTATATGCACAAAAATAAGTTTATTTATAAAAGCAACATATTTGCATTTATAATTATTTTATATTTTCCGTAATATAACAATATCGAGTTAATAATTTGTTTACAAAGAAAGGATAATTTTTTTTCAGACAACCAATTTTTTCAGAAAATGAAGTAATAAATTGAATGAAACATTTAAATAAGACTCAGTACCTACACATTTATTGGAAATTATATAGTGATAATAATAATTTACTAATCATTTGTATAATTTGAATTGTAATAACATTTTAATTATTAACTATTATATTAATTAAAATT